TATATCGACAACAATGAAAGGAACAGCGTGGGGACAGCGTTGCTAAGCGGTCGAATATTTTAATTTGTAAAGTAAATTTCGGTAAAAACAAAAAAATAGTCCAATTCAAACTTGACCTAATAAACTGTGTTTTGATGATAATGGACTAAAGATTCTCATTTTTTATTATTTATGTCGTTTCGATGAGAAGATGTAAATTATTTAGCAATTTTACTGTAGGCCATGCGAGAACCACTCCGTAAAGTATCGCTCAAAAATGTCAGTCGTCAGTCTTTATGTTAGGTTAAGTCGATTTTTAAATAGCGAGCTGGATTATCTATAAAAAGATTGAATTTTCCAGCTAGAAAACTGACCAATATGAGTTTACTATCTTTTATAGATAAGTTAGACGATCAATGTATTAGATATGTAATAATTCTTTTATTATGGGCAGATTATATCTGGGAAACTTATTTATCCATTCGACAGGTGAGTTCAAGATATGCTTTATTTTGTTTGGAGGTCTTGGAATTATCAGTAATAACCAGCAGCAATGCACAAAGCTTCAGTCATATATCCACTTTTGATCACTAACTTTATTCACCATTCTTTATCCAAAATTTTCTGCAATTATTTTTATGAAGCATTTTACCATCTAGCATAACAACATACAACATAGTTTATATCTGAAATTTTTCAAAATATTTTAATTGCTCAAGTTTGTCGAGTGGGCATATGCCTATAATCATTATAAACATCATAGCAGCTTGTCTCGTCCACTGCTGGACATAATTATTCGACTTAAGCCTCTCTTAACCCAAGCGATTTTGCTCCGGCTTGTGCATCTTGGATCCAATATTATTTTGAAATCGTCCGTCCAAAGACCAAAGCACTAAGTGCATGTTAATTAAAATAATCTATTCCTTACAGTTTGGTGTAGCCAAGTCGACAGTGCAAATCCCACATCAACTAAAAGATGTGATGAAAAACGACGAATATGAAAAAGCTAGGAACTACAGCATAGCCAAACTTAAATTTGGTTTTGTGAAACAATTCCATTCAATCATTATTAACACTGTAGTAATACATCAGGGAATTCTGGCTGAAATTTGGCGGTTTACCGAAGGAATCAATCCATTTATGGATGAAGTGTCAACCAGTTGCATTTGGCTAGTTCTTTTGCAACTAATGACCACATTGTTAGATTTGCCATTTACTATCTATTACAATTTCGTATTAGAAGAGGCATTTGGGTTCAACAAGCAAACAGCTGGATTCTTTGTTTGGGACAAGATCAAGCAATTTTTGGTCCTTCAAATAATCACTACAATGGTGGCATCGATTGTGATTGTGGTAGTTAAAAATGGTGGAGATTTCTTCTTCATATATCTCTGGGCGATAGTTGGAGTTCTCACTCTTGTCTTGTTAACAATATATCCTGCAGTTATTGCTCCGTTGTTTGATAAATACAATCGACTTGCTGAGGGCGAATTAAAATCAGACATTGAAGCATTAGCAGCCAGTCTTAAGTTTCCATTGACAGACTTGTATGTGGTTGAGGGCTCAAAAAGATCGTCTCACAGTAATGCATATTTCTATGGCTTATTTAAATCAAAGCGGATTGTTCTTTTTGATACCCTTCTCGCTAAAGATGATGGGAGTGGTTGCGACAACGATGAAATTTTGGCCGTGTTATCCCATGAGCTTGGCCATTGGAGTAGAAATCATAACATTAAAAACTTAGTCATTGGTCAAGTAAACTTATTTCTTCTTTTCACTGTTTTTGGTGTAACTTTCAAATATCCAAAGTTATACACCGCTTTAGGTTTTTACAGAAGTAAGCCAGTGCTTGTTGGTCTTTTTGTTGTTTTGCAGTACGTAATGATGCCCTACAACACAGTTTTATCATTCCTAATGACTGTATTGTCTCGAAAATTTGAATTTGAAGCTGACGACTTTGCTGTTCAACAAAATAAAGGTGTTGCATTAGAGAGATCGCTGCTTAAGCTTAACAAAGATAATTCCGGGTTTCCTGTCCACGATTGGCTGTATTCTGTTTGGCACTTTTCTCATCCTCCTTTACTACAGCGTATTGAAGCTCTGAGGGAAAGTGTTAAGAAATTCGAGTCCAAAGAAAAGTGAGTCATCACATCCACGAAAAGCACAATAATATCTGTGGTTGATTCTTGCATTTGTAGTCGTAAATAAAAAAAAATTAAGTTAACTAATGTTTCATTCTACACATGTGAATTACACTGGTGTAATTAATAAGTAGGTGTAATTTTTTTTCGAATGAAACATCCGTATTAGCGAAGAAATAATGTTTTTTTCGGTAACTTCAATCAGAAACTTTCAAGAATTGAAACTGATGATTTTTTTATTAGTGTAAGGTAAGCTTGTTTGTGTAAAATAAATCATGAAATTAAGTGGTGTCAGAGTTTTTTCTGTAGAAGTAAATCTGTTTCTCAGATTGATAAATTCCACTTTCACATTCCCTCGCTACACGTAGCACGTTAATTTTCTCACACGGCATATTACTTTTATTACGCTACTGGATCAGTAGTTTTGATTTTTGTTGCTTTCGAGTTTACAGTTATTTATACACAGTATGATGTAATAATTGGAACTATTTGTTACGTTAATTACCGAACTAAAAATGACGCATTTTCTAAATGCAGTACTATTCTCCATTTTAACTTAGTTTGTGAGTTTTATATAAGAAATTTGTAGGTATTTTTAATATAAAGTTAATATGAACAGGGGGTTAAAGTGCTTCGTTTCCGATCTACAGGTTGTGAAAGTTTACAAGACTTCTTCATAAGTTACCTCTTATTTTTTTCCAATACCTGTCGGTACCAACTCGGGCCAATCCAAAATAACAGATTTATTGAAATCAATCATCAGTCTTAGTTATATATCTATTCAATCGTAACCCATAAAGCAATCTGAGAATTGGATGTGAAATCGGAAAAAAGATGTAATTATTGTTAATATATTTTTGAGCCACCCATTATAAATGAATTTACCAGAAGAAAAAAAGCAACTAAAAATAAAAATCGAGGGGCAGGAAGGTTTATCAAAGACATTAAACTGTTAAATTTTCAAATACTTGTGGGAAAACATGCTGGACAGCTAAAAATAAAAATACTCTTATAATTGCTACTCTTGTATTTTCATACGAAACCATTATTTGACAAAAACCTGTAAGGTCCGTAACCATAAGCTGTTTTTATGGAATTAAGTAGCCAGTAAACAACACAAACTTCTATTTAGATATTGCATTATGTTCTAATTCGTGCTTACACCGTTGGTCGATTTAAACGGGGGCGCTGATAATTTCAGAATACTTCTTAATCTTACTGGCAACAGACATGTCTACATATCTATCACCAATAGAAACAAGCAAACCTCCAATAATGGAAGGATCAACTTTAGTAGTTAGCAAAATGGATTGACCAGATTTCAAGAAAGATTTCAACACTCCTTGAAGTTTGGTCTTCTGTTCGGCGTCCAGTTCTCTGGCGCTAGTCACCTCACAAACTACCTATAATTTAGTGGAAAACCGTAAGTATGTCGAACATAAGGCTAGTGTTAAACAACTTACCTCTCCTCTATGGGCTGCCATGATAGTTTTAAATGCGGTAATAACTCGATCCAACTTTATGAGACGACCGTTTTCGGCCAAAAGCTGAAGCAAATTGGCAGATTCGGGTTTAAGCGAAATTTTTGCAGATATTGCTTTTAGGGCTTCAGATTTCAATGACCTGAAACAAAGGACAAGGGCAATAATTTTGTGTAGTAGACAAACTATTCCAAAACCGTTTTGCAAAAAGTTAACACGGATGCATATCACACAAATTTATTCATCTCATTTTTCAAAAGTTCAGAGTAAAAAAATTAATGGATATTGCAAGCTTTTCTAAAGCACTCTGCATAGTTGAAAATTAACACCTGCAAAAACAACATAACTAAATCATTAAAAATGTAATAGAACAATTCGAGGGCAGTGAAGGCAGATTCCTCTCCATGTCCATGTAACTGTAATGCAAATAACACAGGACTAAAAAGAAATACAAAAAATATTCAATATCCCTATTCATTAATGAGTAGTTTATTAATCAGTACGAAACCAATAGTGAAAGAACGTAATTTAGTGTAATTATTATCATTTTATCGAATTAGTTGGAGTATGTTAGTCGAACATCAAATCACAGATCGCTCAAATACGTTACATTTTTTCCTTTTGAAGAAATTCGGCATTTCTTTGAATTAGATTTCCACTTGAAATTATTTGTATTCTGTTGTTTATAAAGCAATCTATGGCCTCGTTTTTGCGAGCCATTTATTGCTTCAAAAAGAACTTTGAAATTTTATATTTTCAAGTAAGTCGGTAATACCTTTTAATTGTTGGGTTCAGTATAAAGCTCTTGAATTTAGGATCAGTTTTCAAAGATGTCTCGAGCCCAATCAGATCCTTTTCAACACTGTCCAGGGTCTTCTTCTTGGTGGCTGCAGAATACAGGGCTGTTGCATACCGCCCTTCAATCCCAAATATTTGTACTGGAGGCTTGACCAACTGACTGGCTACTTGGCCAGTACTGAATTGCCTGATCTGGAAATAAGGACATTGGAAGTAAGCTCTATCTAAGTGATATAATGTTTTTAACCTACGGAATATTATGTAATAATTTACGATATGAATATGAGGCTGCTCGGGGTAAAATTGAGAAGTAATGCGGAAAATTACTTACGGATAGTACTTTTCGGCAAGCCATTTTAACAGAGCTTTGAATTGTTAGATGATTTATTACAATTTTTCAGAAAATTGGTCGGGATCAAAGTTTATGAACCCAAATAGCTGTCAAAATAGGGATTGTGAGGTTAGGTCAGAAGTTAAGCCACTGCTTCTGTGAGACAGTGTTGCCTATAAAATATTGATGTCGGCTAGATATCATTATACGTAAGAGAGACAGCCTCATGTGGTAAATGTAATGATTTAATAATAGTTGCCGATGCTCAACAATTTTAAGTGCTAATTGAATTTTTACGTCGTAAAATTGACAATTATTCTCTATACATCAATGTGGAAGAAGTTAAACAATATTTCTGACTGTGTTGTTAGTTTATGTTTTTTTCTAAAAACGTGGTGCACGGATGACAGAATGATCTGACAACCTCCTTGACCTGTGGTCAATTGTCAATTGCTGTCACCGCAGGGGATCGTTTTGTTTTTGTGAGCAATTTGCTAGCAGATAGGATTAAAAACTGGTTTTTAAACACTACAAGAAAATTATGACTAAAAAGCAACATAATTAAATCAAGTGAATACATATCAAAATCAATCAACTTTATCTGCCTCAGACCTACATGTATAACCTGAAAATGCTAAAGGTAAGGAGTCTCTTATGAATTTCTCACATTTAATAAAAAAGTTCCAGGGAAAAGGTCAGCTGAAATTTGAGGATAAGTGGGTTCATATGCGCCCCATTGTTTTGAAACTTCTGAAACAAGAAGCGGTGTCTCAAGCTGAGTGGCATGATCTGTTTTATGATGTACATTTGGTATGTCTTTGGGATGAAAAGGGGCCTGCAAAACTGAGGGATCACCTGCATGAAGACATAGTACAATTCATTAAGCAGGCTCAATCTAGAGTATTAGCTCAGAGAGAGGAGGAAGCATTGTTAAAAGCCTATATAGCTGAATGGAGGAAATTTTTTACACAATGCAACTATCTACCAACCCCTTTTCGGTAAGGCATAATTGAGCCATTTCCTAGATATTTATAGAGAACTCACTCTTTCGGGGTTAGTCCAATTACTTTAGTGAAACTTAAGCGTTTAAGCAAATCAAAACTACTTTCTTGTACTTCAGTAAGTACTACTCAAATCTCGAGTATTAATTTATTTGTTTTTGTTAATAGACAGCTTGAAAGCAGTCTTCAGGGCAAGACAACATCTGCCAGTTCCAGTATGCAAGGTAGCAACAACAAACCCAACAGCAGCGATGAGTGTATTGTTCGTAAATTGATGCTCGACAGTTGGAATGAAAGTATTTTTAGTGATATTAAACATAGATTGCAAGAAAGTGCTATGAAATTGGTGCATGCTGAAAGGAATGGAGAGGCTTTTGATTCCCAATTAGTTATAGGTGAGTAAACTGTTCATTTTCTATTTTAAGATAACTGTGAGTTAATCCTCCCAAATAACTGATGCACTTCCGTGACACTTTCCTTGTGTAATTATAATCCTAAACTGTGTATAGATTTTAGAGTGATTCAGAACCGGTTTTGGTCAATGGCCGAAAAATTAATCAAAAAAGCATTCTGGCTTCCACTAAAATATCTTAAGGTTTTCTACTGAAATATTACTAAGCACCTAAACGCATTCTTTGGTCTGAAAGCAAATCTGTTAAATAAATCGTTTGCCGCTTTTTCCAAAACCTTTTAGCGCATTCTGGCGTTGGCCTCATTGCCAAAACACATCGAGCGCACTAACAAAATGTCCAAAGTCCAGTGTTATATGTAGAATATTTTTGTTGGTACGATGGTACGTACATACATACAAAGCACAATTATTTCGCCTCTTTCGATGTCTGCAGTTTGGAAGAGGTGCATTTTGGGACTGTGTTGATAAGAACAAATAGGGGTTATTTAAACTTCTAAAATGCACCTTAAACAAATTTTTATTTAATTCGTGTATTTTCGACATGTTAGTTAGCTCCTTGAACTAATATTACTTATATCCTGCCCTGTAGCAAATAAATCGTTACTATTATCGCTAATATTAATATTCTCCATTCTATATCGTAGGCGTAAGAGAATCTTATGTAAATTTATGCTCCAATCCTGATGACAGATTAGAGATATATAGAGAAAATTTTGAAGCAGCTTATATTCAGAGTACAGAAATGTTTTATAAATTAAAAAGCAGTCAGTATTTGGCGGAAAATGGAGTACAAGCTTATATGAAGTATGCCGATGCTAAGCTTAAGGAGGAAGAGTCGAGAGCCCAAAGATACTTAGAAGGTAGGACAAATTATACTCTTTATGAAGATACTTGGCTGAACCTAAAAATTGGGGTCTGATCAGTTATGAGTTTCTTGCATATAGTGTTCGTAAAATCCAAGCAATTTGTTTGTGACCGGTTTCCGTTTTTGCCGGGAATATTTTGATAGATTGATTATTACAATTTCATTGGTCGCTGTACTTCATAATCGACTTTAATTGGTCATGTGGTTGGGTGCTTTATGTAGATTTATTTCCATTCCTAGAAACAACCTTATTTTTATCAGACCATGCCGTTGCATGGCGGGTATATTGAGTGCTTAATATACGCAGTATTTTAAGCTGCATTTTATTATTATTAGACAATAAAGATGGTATTTTGGCGGTTAATGTTAATGACGTCTCAAGTCCTGAAGACTCTAGTGATGAATAGGTAAGCGTACATTTTCCATTTCTAAATTTTTTTGCCACAATTACCTTGGTCATCTGTAATTAAAAAAATACATTTAATGAATAAATACACAATTAACTAAATATTTCAGATCAGTTAACTAAATTAAATAATTTATCTGTTTGCACGCTCATGTTTCACAAAGAAAACGTCGACTGTTTACCCACATTCAGTTTTAATGCGGGTTCAAGTAGGATCGTATGTACATACCTTAGAACGAGCATATATTTCGCATCATTGAAAACAATAACGAAGCCGTCATTTTGGATAAGTTTCTCTCCGTTTTCAATGCCTGATTCCCTGATCTAATTTTGTTTTTATTTTGAAAATATTTTTTAACTGCGTTCCGATTTAAAATTGTTTGTGATTTATAATTCCTTCTTATTGCTTTATTACTTTCTTTCTGTTTATTAAATTATCAAAATACTACTTTGATTTACATTGAAAATTTAAAAAAACGACTTTTGATTTAGAAAGAAACTTGTTTTTTAGTATTTATGATTCTTTTAATAAGAAATATATTTGAAAATGTATGTGTTTTATGTTTGTTAGTTTTTGTTTTTGGTGTTCAATCAACAAATCAGTTAGTGTTACTTTTATTGCAAATTTTTCTAGCGCTGTAAAAAGGCCGGAATCAATTAATAACATGCCGAATTGTTGAAAGCATCGAATATTTCTATATCATTCAATGTCTGTTATTAGCTGGCTGCTATGATGTTATTCAATGCTGTGTGAAGGTGCTAGTGCAAAATTCGTTACCAATGCTTATTGCTGAATGTGCCCCTCTTATTAAAGCAGGAGAAACCGATCGACTACAACTAATGTTCAGGTGAAACTTTTTGTTTATTTCTTTTTAGTAGTATTTATAAAGTTGCTATTTCTATTGACGTAGGTTACTAGAAAGAGGACCATTAGGAGTGCAGCTAATGTTGCAACAACTTGAAAGGCATATTAGTCAAGCTGGATTGGCTGATATGGTCGCTGCTGCCGATGTAATCACGCAGGATTCCGAAAAATATGTGGAGCGCTTGTTGGATCTATTTAGGTAGCTTCAATATGTAAAAATTTGGCGCATTATTTCCTGCATCGTTGATTTTTAATTCTAGGAAATTCAGTAAATTGGTTCATGACGCCTTTTCGGACGATCCTCGATTTTTAACTGCAAGAGACAAAGCATTTGAAGCGGTAGTTAATGATACAACAGTATTTAGATTAGAATTGAGTAGTGGACGAAATGTGGCAGGTAAGATGGTCACCCCTGAGAGTAAATGTCCAGAGTTATTGGCCAATTACTGCGATTTATTACTTAGGCGGACGCCCTTGTCGAAAAGGCTTACCAGTGAAGAAATTGAAACGAGGTATGTGTTTAAATTATCAAATATTCATTGGATAGATAATTCGTTTCTTACCCAAAGTGGTTAAAAACTCACAAAGTCCATATTTTTGGGGTCAAAATGTTTTTATTTTTTATGAACATGGTTTAACAATAATACACCCTCTTAAAACTACGGATATTTAAATTAGATATTTTTCAGACATACCGTAATCGAATTTGATGTCGGTACAAGAAACGCAAATGTACGGAATAAAAACAAATATCTCATTAATGAAAACTTTATCGTATTGTTTGTTTTATTGCTTGATAACTAAGTCGAGACATCCAAAATATTGATTAAGAGTAAATTTTCCTTGAGATGTTTAAGGTGCGGTTTTGGTGGTGCGATCGGCGGCTGCAACTCGATACTGCGTTTGGAAGCAGCCGCAGTCTAAAGTGTGGGTCAGTTCAGGATGTCAATTCGTGAGGTACATTTGAGAAAAAAACTGTTGAAAAGATGGACGGCGTCGAGCTTTGAACTCTTATTTTTTTAGAAGGGGAGGAAAATAAGAACAATTTCTTTTAAAAAATCCTAATACAATTTTTCTGCCATTTTTTTCACTGATGTGGCTATTTTTATCCATCCATTTTCTTTGACGGCAAAAATTTTCAAATTTTCATCTTTATAATCATAAATCGATGGATATTTTTGGACATCCTTAATTAACTTGTTATTCTCATTCGCAAAAAACGAGCCATTGTCCGAAAATCGCAATTGCGACTGCGATTTGACTAATACCTCTACCAGTTGAATCGCATTAGCTGCGACTCGAGCCGCCGCATCTCTAACTCACGACCGAAACCGTACCTTAAATCTATTTTAAAAACTTTAATTTCATTCTTCATTAATTTTAGCTTTGCATTTTTTTTCGTTGTTATTTCTAAGTCTAGTCAGAACCCAACTGTTGAAATGCTTAAGATAACTCTATTTTTCGTCACAAATAATTGTCTGCTAAAGTAATAATAAATTAACAATGTTTGCCTGAATTAATATCGATCTCTCTCAATAACTCAGGAGGTGTCAAGAAACGCAAATTAACATTTAATTTGATTGAAAGCTGTAGTCACACTTAAAACATTTTTCCTCGCAACTTTGGACATCTGTTGATATTCTAATCCATGTTTATATTAATTATTAGAATAATTTTGACCTCAAAATTCATTTTTAAGTCCTTTACTGATATTTGAATCGCAGCATTTTGTCTAGGGCAGGATATGTAGAGATTGATTCATTCATTCTATTACTATCTATCGGGACACAAAGCATTTTTGAATGACTTAGATATTTTGATTTATCAGGGATATTTTTATATCTAAGAAATTTATTTTTTAGATTAAGAGATGTGTTACTTCTCCTTAAATATGTATCGAATAAAGACGTTTTTATGAGATATCACAAAGCTCATTTAACTAGGCGACTTATATTAGACTCCAGTGCAGATAGTGAAAAAGAAGAAGATATGGTATATTTATTAAACTTTTATATTAAATCAGATTTCATATAATTCGAAAATGCCTATTTTTCATTTTGATTGTGAGTTTGAATCAGATCATACAAATTGTAGGTTGAATGGTTGCGAGAAGTGGGAATGCCAGCGGATTATGTAAATAAGCTAGCAAGAATGTTTCAAGATATTAAAGTTAGTGAGGATCTGAATGCCCTATTTAGAACGTCGACGGAACGACATGATGCGATAAATATTAAAATTTTAAATGCAGGCAAGTAGGCTGCGTTTAGGCATTGCTAAAAGTATGGTTTTTATCAAATTAAATATTTAAGGTGCCTGGGCGAGAGGATCGGAAAGAGTTACCGTTAGTTTACCCGTGGAATTAGAGGATTATATTCCCGAAGTTGAAGACTTTTATAAAAAGAAACATTCTGGTAGAAAGCTGCAATGGTAATACATGGTTTTGTTCGAAATTAACAGATCGGTTATCAACTTTTCTTCGGCTCTGCAGGTACCATCATATGAGCAATGGAACTATTACGTTTGCGACTAATGGCGGTAAATTTGATTTGGATGTGACGACTTTCCAAATGGCTGTGCTTTTTGCGTGGAACCAAAGGCCGACTGATAAAATCGCTTACGAGAATCTTAGGTATTGAAATGATTGTTGTTTCTTGCAAGCCTTTGGAGCTTAATAACAGAGTTGAGATAAAACTGAAAAGCTTTACGTAAAAATATATATTTTTTTATTTCCCCGTATAATTTACCATCGGAAATTTTAGGGACATTTTCCGTAATTATCCCATATTTTCACTGCTTCTACTTTTTTGGAAGATATTCTCTTAATACTAATATAAAAGCACTACTAATTAAGAGACAAGAAACTGTTTTTATTAAAATTTCTTTCAATAAATATCAAACATTTTAATTTGCAAATTATTGACAGAAATAATTTGAATCCCATAAAACGTATCTGCATATTGAACTGTTTTATAGATTAGCCACAGAGCTTCCTGATGGTGAACTTCGAAGAACCTTATGGTCCTTAGTAGCATTTCCAAAGCTGAAGCGGCAACTGCTTCAGTTTTATCCTTCTGTAAGCGCCCCGAAAGACTTTGATGAACACACTGTATTTTGGGTCAATCAGGATTTCGCTTTGATCAAGAATGGGAAGCCACAGAAGAGAGGAAAGGTAAGAAAATATTCGTTTTCGTCTACGAGGTTATCATAATAAATTCATTTTAAACTCATTCATTGGAAATACTCCACTGAATAAGGAAAAACAGTTAGTTTGGTTTTACCTAACCACTTTAAATATAATTTTGCCCGTGTCTAAAGTGCATTATAAAATATCTGTCAAAAATTGTTTTCCGAAAAAAGCGGTTCGAATTCAGCATACATAAACGATTACGTCAAGGTTTTATTCTATTTTGTTAATTTCTGATTTTATTGATGCAATATGGAAGTTTTTTGCTTGCAGACTTTGCAGTCGATTTTGCACCTCTTCTCAGTTTTTTATATTTAAATTTAAAATAATCCTGATTTTTTTGCTTGATTAAAGGGACAACCATTTTATTTCAGGTAAATTTGGTGGGAAGACTGCAATTGAGTACCGAGCGGTCTCAAATTGAGGATAATCAATCTATTGTACAGTTGCGCATTCTTAGAACACAAGAGGCAATAATAAAGATTCTTAAAATGAGGAAAAAAATTACAAATACAGCTTTGCAATCAGAGCTGGTCGATATTTTGAAAAATATGTTTTTGCCATCGAAAAAAATGATCAAAGAACAACTTGAATGGTTGATAGAACACAAATATATGCGCAGAGACGATGACGATATTAATACTTTTATTTATGTGGCGTAAAATTGATATGTTACCATTAAGACTAAAACAATTGTTACTAAGAGCGGATCTAAATTGGACGCAACTGTTAAACAATAAACATGATTTAGTCAAACATTTACTTTGTATTTATAGATTAATTTATTTACTTGTAATGGCGAAGAAATATTTTTAAGATGTGTATTCATTTTTTTAATTTTCATATTTTGAAAGTTATTGAAAAAGATGGATTCAAATAATTTAAATACTAAGTTATGAATTTTTGATTAGAAAATTAAAGTGGTGAAATCATGATAAGCCGAAAATGTTAACTGAACAAAGATGGTATATAAAACTTAATAACTATCAGAAATAAAGGATCTTTCAGAAATCCTTGCAAATATATGGTTTTACTTTCTTACCTTTTTAACGGTTTCGCAATAATGACAATAGTTAAACCTTCACACCCGCAATCGAAAATAAGGTAAGTAGTTTTTTCTTTGGGAGCACATTAAGTTGAAAAGGTTTGGTCGATTAGAGCGATTGGTTTATTCAATAGTTGACTGAAGTGTGATGAGGTAACTGAATCATGGCATAACCTGATTTTCTGAGAAAGCATTTCACATACGAGTTTACTAGATGTAAAAGTCGCCAAATAAATGGCTATGATTTTGAAGGGTAGTTTTTCATGTGTCTGATATTATCGTCGTCAGATTTAAATAAATCTCTTTCTACTTCTCAACATTTATTTATAACAAAATATTCTAATCGAGCATTGATTTACACTTGCAGATTCTAATAAAAGTAGTAATTTACGCTACATACATCAATGGCATACAGTCGGTGCAAGGGAGCTTTCTTAAAAAATATGTTTTATATTTACAATATATGGTTGATTTGCTTGATTGTGGTTACCACTACCATAAGAGTGGAGGAAATGAATGTGATATGTGTTATGAATGATTATCTTCCTATGAGTTATGAATGATATTTAACTTCCAATAGAGGATGTTTTAGGTTCTAAAGAATTACATTAAAATAAATCTAAGAATTTCTCAACAAATTCATAGATTTGGTTCTTAATTTCTGTGTGGGTATGTAAAATGCAATGTATGTAATGTGCATTTTCGTCTAACTTGCCAATTAGTATAAATAACACTCAGCAGAGAGGTAGATCTAGTAATTTTGGTTCTAATAGCACATGTATAATGCAGATTTTTTCAGCTAATTGCTTTGCGTAGGAAACGTTGCTTGTCCCCTTGTATCTATCACTCTTGAAAAAATAACAACCTGCAAAATTTGGTCAATTAATTAATTTTGGTCTTATAAGGATTCAACTTTCGTGTCTATACAGTGGCTCATTAAGAATGGGCAAATTCCTATACAGAGTGTTGTCTAAAGTGGTGCTCGTATTTAAGACGTGCACTGTTGAGGTCTTTCATTTTAATGCAGAAAAAATATGTTCCAATGAACGCCGTTTTGCCTTGATTTGTGATTTTTTGTGTGAAGAAACGGATCTTTCAATGGGAAGTCGGGCAGTTGTTTATAACATTTTTTTCAGAATTTTGCAATAATATAATAATAAAATTATTTCTTTCGATAAAAAGCAAACGAAATTGCGGTCACTTACTCAAACATTTTTATGCATATTTTGTAGGCAGTTTATTATTTTCATTATTACCATTACCATTTCCGTTATAGTTGTTGTAATATATTGGGACACTCGATGTATTTCTATTTATTTTTAATATTGTGCACATTTTCGAATCGCTGAATCTGCTGGAAAATGCATTTTATTCATTTCTCATGGACTCAAATTGTTACAACTTTTCCCACCGTAATAGTTTTTTGTAAATCAAAACCTTGACAAACTATGCTTAAGTTGATGGCGCTTGACCACATATATGACTGAAATAACTTATTTTCACAGAACCTAGTTATAATTAATACCTAGCTTTTTTGATTGTTAGAAGCCTTGACACATATAAAAGAGTACGTGTTTGAAAATAGCCGAGACGGCGTTAAATAATATTCCACATTTTCAGCGTAGTAATTAATTAATTAAAAAACCGTAAGGTCTTATAGTAGTCAAGCCGCATATTTTACAAACATGTTTAATGGATGCGAAAATAATCTTCAATTTCAATAAACTTGTTTATGGCATTAGGAATTTCATTTGAAAGCACATTTCTCTTTTGGAGAAATGTTGCTCAAACTTGATTTTCGAAAAAATAACTTTTTAAAAATACGAAATACATATTTCTTTTAGTATTCAAGAAGTAGGAATGGAAACTAACATTTTAATTTCCAGTACAAGTAACTTGTAAAAATAGTTTTGTCTAAAACCGGACGCTTTTCTGTCTTGAGGACCACAAGAAACCCGAAAATTATATCACTGTTGAGATAAAAAGTTTTCACTTCGTACTTTCAGCCGACTGAAAATTTCAGATAATATCCGTTGATGCTTTCGCGCGAAATTACGAGAAAACATAATTTGCATAATCTGTTTGGAACGGCCTTCTTTCGTAATAAGTTCGGCTCAATCAATCGACAGGGTGATTTGAACGTTACTTATTATAAGTGGGGAACGTTTAAGTTTCTTTAAGTTGGTCAAGAATCAAACTGAAAACGGCACAATGTTACAAACATGTTTTTTATGGAATGTTTATGGAATTCGGCAAATAAATTTCCGTTCGCTCGTACATCGGCAACATTTGCATAGCTCAAATTGAATAGATAATGATGTTTTGGGCGCGCAATCCTTCCATTCTTAATGAACCACCGTTGTATACGCTCCTTTTATGATTTTCACTAAACTGTGAAGAAGCAAAATGTAAAAAATTGCATCAAAACATGTTCTAATGCCCTTTAATGAAGGGAAGGGGAATCATTTGGGGTATCACCGGATCAGTTGGCTGAAACTGATCCGACTGATCCTGTCAGCTATCCACGTCTATGGAAAAAGCCTGGGCGTGGGTCAGAGCACTCCATAATGGTGATCTGAAAGCAAACAAAATTGCAATTATATACATTCTTTAAAGTATACCTAAGGAACATTATATGGCAACGGAATAACATATTAACAGTGTTTTATTTATAGTTTATGGATACCTTTCAGAACATCCGTCCGTATTCTGTTCTTGCTATCTGGCGGGAATCGGTTTGCTATCCCCATCTGGGGTCATCAGCTCCACTACGGTTTGCTCAGCTTCCGGCTCAGAACGTTCTTCAATTACCGTATCCAGTTCCAATGAAGGAAATCCGCGACTCATTCCTCGTTCAGAGCGAAGACTGATGGCTCGTGATCGTCCTGAGTAGAAAGTTTTTATAACAAAAAGTTATTATTGTATCTATGTATTAGAAATTTGTTGGGAATTCTACCTTGACCTAGTGCGTGAAATGTGAATTACGAAAATCAATGAAGGAAAAGTGGAGTGAGCTGATAATTGCCCCGTTCGCTGTTCTGATTTAAAGTGGGGAAAATAGATTATTTACCGGGTGTTTGTAAATTACTGCATCGTTCTTTAACTACATATTTTACGACTCAAGATATAACTTTTTCCCGTAGAAGCAATCTCTCATATGTATCTCTAAGAAATAAAGCTACCGATTTCCGGACACCTTGTGCGGATACAACAATTTTGCTGAATGCTTTACATCAAGCACTAATACCAGCAATTGGAAATCAGATAAAACCGTTAAACCAGCTTCTTGGAGAGTGGCTTTGAATGAAACCTTATGAAAAAATCCGTTTTTCTGTCGATTTTTCTTCATTTTGTAAGTATATAATTCGGCAGATGACGAAAAGCGTGAACAGTTTTATCAGGAATATTCCCCGTTCTTTCTTTGATCTTTTCGTAACCTCCTCAGATTTTTGTGAAATGGATAAAAATATTCATTTATATAACCAATGAGTCAACCAATTTGCGCTTTTTTTCTACCTGTGAATAATATAACTTAACATTTTTATGGTTCAGAAACAATAAAATTTTCCATTTGCTTTTGTGTGTGCCCGTAGGTACAACAATTCCCCAATAGAAAAATTAAGATGCATCAGTCTCTTAAATTGCAGAAAGTTATTAATTAGCGACAAAATAAAGAGCAAGCTACTGATACCCTATCGAATCAAGATTCAATCGAAATTTATTTCTGCTGGGAAATTGTACATCTGAACCTAATTTGCTCGTAAACTGTAATAGAAACAATAATAAGCTTGATAAGTTATTTGAACAATATTTCGAAATCAAATTGCATGTTTTAATCCATCAATTAGATTTTGACCAACAAATGTTTTGGCTCGCAATTAGTTTAAATAAAGTCTAAAAAGGTTTTTGGTCGATGATCGATTTTTGCCTTTCAAGCAAAATACAAAATGTTATTGTAGTAAGTGTCGAATTATTAATTTTTTTTCTTTTATGGTAGTAAAACCTCAAAACTCCGGCACTGATTCTTGCTGAATATGACCATTACTCTACTTAGGTACTTACTACCTTGAATGTGCAGCTTTATAGAAGAACGGGTTCACAAATCTCTAAAAGTTGGTTTTTCAAACATTTCAGGTTTACATTACATTTTTTATTAATTAAATTTGCACACGATTTTAGCTGAAGTATGTCCGATTCAAGCTGTAAAATTAATCAACTTAATGAAATATTAAGTTCGCCTTGACATAAAACAAAAAATATCTTACCTGCATATTTCTCTGGAGATAAGTGTTCGAATTAGAATACATATTAATAAAAATATTAGACTGTTTTCATTAGAATTTCTTCAGAAATAAGTTTGCAAATTTTTGAAAATTTCAAACGAATTTCCATATTAAATATTAAGTTTTAGCAAGAAATTTACGTCCCATAGTTACAAATTTAATCTTAAAGTCCTGACGGTGTAACGAATTTCACCAGGCCAGGTATAAGTTGCAGGATTAAAGTTTGCAGAACTAGTTTCGAATTGCTGATGTTTGCATGACAAGCTTAATATACCCAAGCATTGGAAACTTGCTGTAATAAAGGAAACTTAGTTAACTTCGTTTCAATAAGTTGAGATTTGAGGTACTCAACCTGAATTTGGAAATTTCGCTTTAAAGAGAAATTATCGTTCGTATTATTTCCTTAAAATGTTATAAAATAATTTAAGAAGATTGTGTTAATTTTTTAAAAGAATATTTTTTTGTTTTTTAGCTTATCTAGAAATAATAGCATACTTTTAGGATAACACTCTCATTTTGACACAAACCGTGATTGAGCTAGTAATTTCTCGCGTTTAACGAGTCCAACAAATTTTTAAATTATAGGAACAGTATGACGATCTTATATTGATGGGAGTTGGGTTTAGTCATACACAATACAAGACCTTACCGTTTTCCTAAAAAAAAATTGTTTTTAAAATAAAAAACCCTTTTGACTTACATATTTAGACTACGAACTTTCCGGTAGTATACAATTTATAATATTTATTATGAAAATGTAAACCTGTTTTCGGTTAATACATTGCCTACGAGTCTTCACTTTTTTAAAAATAAACCAGTAAACGAAAACTATTGGCAATTTTCCTGCTTCAAAAAAATTACTTAAAATTTGCGCTAAAAACGCAAAACTTTATTTAATATTTCTATCTAAAATATAATAGTATATGAAGTATCTTCATTCATATCTTTGTTCATTAAAAAAAGGCTATTGACCACGGTCTTTCCGCCGTATATGAGGTATATTTCTTGAAAAGTACGAACAATTGTTTTTTTCAAGTTTCAAATTTTACTTGCTTTCTACCACCTAATAAATCGTCGGAATTAAAAATCTTAAAATAAAAAAACTCTCTAACACCCAAAAACTCAAAGTAAGAGAAACACAAAAAAACATAAGATAATTTATACCATACCATAAAGAAAAAAAAAAAAGCGCACAATTTTATTTTGTATAAACTGATAATATTGAATATTCAATTACTCACCGTTAAAATGATCTAACAACGAAACCAAATGACAAATTTAGTCAGTCAAATACCTATTGCAGAAAACGACAATAATTTTTTAACATCATTGATATCAATCATAATTAACTATCTAATCATCAAAAAGAAATAAACAAAACCAATATAAATAATTACCAAAACGGCCATTCACTTAGAAAAACATAAACAAATCGCAGGAATAAATCCGCATACCATCACTACTATTATTTGATTTTCTTCATGTGCTTCTTCCTTTCTGTAACGGTTCGAAATGGAAGATGATTTAATTGATAAAATAAATGAAAATTAACACATTTTGAAAATTTATGTGTATTTCTGTCTGTGATTATGCGTCTGTGTGTATTTAAATATTTATTTAATATAAATTGAAATAGAGAGCCATCGTTTCATCTTTAAATTACCCTTAATAATTTAATTAATTAAAAAATTAATTAAATTATGTTTTGTAAAATACTACATTTATTATCACTATTTTCTCGTTTATGCACTTCACATATCACAATTTCTGACTGCATTATAAACTGCGCTTTTGCGAGCGAAATATTGAGTCAGTATAAAGTATACATATTTATGCTCAATTTGAGAGAAACTTTATAATCTTTTTTTTTTAACTTACAAACAATAATAAAATTTCTTAGGCCATCAAATATGGGTCATATTAATATTGGAGGGTGTTTTTTCTGTCACATTCAGGCAGTAAAGTGTCGAACAAATATAGAGCAGTTGCAGTAAAAAGCGTAAATTAATGTAAAACATTGGAGGAAATTAAAAAATAATAATGACTTCCAGCCGAATGAAATTGGAGCACTAAAGGGACTAATAACACATGCTGTAGTTTTAATTTAACAGTTTCGGCACGTACATTTTCCGTGCAAACTGAAAACGTCTATAATGAAAACTGTGATATTTTAACAATAAAAAGTAAAACTTTTTCTGTTAGTAAACATTGTTATTTGGAAGTTGTGAAGTAAAACGATCCCAAATAAAACTCAGGTGGAAAAAGGAAGTAAAGAAAATTTAAATAAAAGCACGAATTTTAAGAAGCCAAACTGATAAACCAAACAGCAAGAGCGCAGTAGTTACCTAAATAGTCTAAAGAGCTGAACCTGACAATAGAGAAAGTACCGTGATCAAAGTCCATGTTTCTTCTGCGCGCTTGTTCGCGTGCCAGCTTGGCTCTTCTGCGCAGACAGCAGATGACCAGCAGGGCCAAAAGCGGGAAGCCGAAGATGCAGGAAATAATTGGAATTACCACCGTTTCAGGTGAAACTGGATAACCAGATAAAACAAAGTTAGTTTGGGTTAGTCTGAGTAGTGAATACTCAAAATATTATTCGCTTACCAGTAGGATATATTAGGATAACGGGTCTCTTGTTGTGGGAATGGAGTTGAGTGGTGGACACACTGTTAGAAGATCCATCTACTGTAGCAGACATTTTATTCAATTTGTTTTTCAACTGAAACAAAAAACACTTATTGTATGATGGTATACGTATATACGAGACAAGTCTCAAGAAAGTTACATTATTAACTAAGTGTGAAGTAAAAATTTTGAACATCGTTTATTTCATTACGTTTCGGCGAGACAACAGCGCCATCATCAGATTTAAAATTTACACAAATTCATGATTGGTAAAAATCAACGTTCTTTTATTTTAGGTCTTTGCCTTCTTGAAACCTTCTTTCACGTTCCAAGAAGGCATTTTGAAAATTTATTTCCTCAGTCAAAGGGACAAAATAGGAATAATATGTGATATGCTTACTCTTTATAATAACTATTTTGAAGATGGAGTGCTGAATGAATGGACGATATGCAAAATATGTAAAATTAAAATCAAATGACGTGTTTTCAATTGATAACTTTAAAATCCTCTTAAGAAGGAGCGTGGGAAGTGAAAATGTAAGCCTGCAAACCAAGATTCGTTTGACGCATAACACTATTTTTTTGCAAAACCAGCAAATTTCATAGTGCCATCACCACCCATTCATTAGGTTTACTTTCGGATTGTGTTCAAGCTTAATAAAGCTAATTTTTTTAATGCAGATAACGATTAATAAATCATCCTTGAAACAGGCGTCGAATCAATAATCCTGTCAAATACCGTGGAAATATTCCAGTTTCGAGTGGAGAGTATTTGTCATTGGATTACATTCCGTCTACACGCTTCCGATTTTAGCATGCAGATTCTGCCGAATGGTCGTACAAATTGCCAGAATGCAAATTTCCCCCGTGATTGCCAATATAGTAAATTCGAATATCTTACTTGTAAGTGGGGTGTTTTGTCACCGGTGAATGGTATCCAATAATTCAACTTTTCCGACTGAAAAATGCATTATGGATTGAATCTGCTTGAATTGAATGTGCACTTGATCATTTGGAGAGCTTTCATGACAACATTGATCAAAGAATCTAGGTTGGATCCAGTGGTAGAGGAGTAGGATTTATTATTCTCTAGATTTTCAATTCGTGCTTTAAACATAAACTTGACTTTCCAATGGAAATCTTTTTATTGGCACACATCTTCTTTAGAGCTATTTATTGTTATACTTTTCTCGGCAGACAAAATGAAAAACTTTTCTTTATATGTAACGTTTATCATATATATCGGATACAAAGTTGTTGCAGATTGTTCCTTTTGATTGGCAGAAGATTTGAAATATTAAACAAATTTATACTTTTTCGACTATACCATGACGACTCGGGGTTCAGGCACGCCATGTGATTACCTGAGAATTATTTCAGACATATTTTAAAAAATTACGCTTTTCAACTTCCCTGGAGTGTTCGCAAAGACTTTGATTGATTGACTACATTGATTTTCTAATGAAGTTACTCTCTTATAAGTGCTTTATGTAATGTAGTGATTATTTTCGGCAATGCAACAAAAATTATTTTTAAGGTAATTTGGAAGGGATGAAATATGTTTCTTTTTGTTGTGTACAATCAATTTAATGCAGGAAAAACAAATAATTCGCCCCAGCTACTTTGAACTTTAAACCAATTTAGCTCTACTAGCTCTACTACTACAAAAATGTATTGCGATTTTCGAATAATATCTGACCATTGATCTTTGATTTTCTTCTTCAATAAAAGCAAATGTTTCACAAGGTTTTCATATAAAAATGCTCTCATAAAAATAATCTTACGAATGAAAGTGTAGTGCTGTTGTGTGAAAACGGATCAATTTAATAAGGTCACTAAAACAAGCCGTTTAATGTCTCAAAATCTTATGTTTCTAAGTGCTCTGAGAACTTTTCCTTTTATTCATAGTAATCTCTTAACCAATGATCTTATAAAAATTTTCCATGAAAGAATGCTTGTTAAGTAGGACACTAAAAAGTGTAGGAGGTTTCATCCCAATTTGACTGATATTAACTAAGCTCGCTCTCTTTGTATCCTCCTAATCATAAATTTACTACTACGAGCTTACACTTAAATCAAATTAGACTACTTGCATTTGCAAGGGAAGATTGTGCAAATATTTGCTCTGACAGGCACCCGGCCCAAACTATTATCCCGGGACTTTGTAAATAAATCCTGCTAATACTGAATGTCCGTTGATTCAACCAACAAATATTTGCGCTGGCCTAAATTGCTTAGGTACTTCTTGCCAGGAATCTGCTCGCATTTAAACACCAAATGTTAACCAGTTAAAAAATGTAATAAAAAAGAGCTGCAACAAACAGGTAGCAGTAAAAAGTCACATTTTCGGACAAATTCCCTCTATCTTTGTGTAGTTAAATATTTTAAGAGCAAATGGGAAACACGAGTTTTGTGGAAGCAGGGTAGGATAAAGTAAATTTACTGCTAGAAGTTTATATTTATTACTGCGTGGTCGCATTTCGAAAGTTGAATATGCCAGTAGATTTGGTTGACTGTTTTTATTTATTAAAATTATTTTTTGCTTTAAAAATAAGTTTCGACAACAATTAGTTGCTGAGCTGGTTTGAGGTCTGGTTCTAAAAATTTCACGAATTATACAAAAGCATTTTCAATCAATCATTATTTTGAATCACTCGAAAATCCCGTCAAATTTTTTATCCTTTAGCAGTGGTTTAGAGACTTTTAGAAACATTATTCGGAAATTTTGCTCTACAAAAGTATACTTAAACATCTCCTTTTTTAACAGAAGCTTCACTCTTAAGCCACTCCATTTTAATTCTAGGAATTATCAGTAAGCACAGTATAGTTTTGCTTCTTTGGGCTACAAAACTTTTCCAATTGTACAATTGATGTTTGAATAGAAAACTATTGTAAAATTAGCTTTACTACGCTTAAAAATTGTTATTTACTTTTTCACCGTCTGCTTTGTAACGTTTGGTTGTTTTTGCTGTCATCAAATCATTTATTCGTATTATCGTTATTTTTATAACCAAATGTTAGTTAAACGGTTATTTCTTGAAAATTTACTTAAATCTATCAATTGATGTAGAATTTTGCTCATAGTATACTATTTTAAATAATAAATTCTACAAAAGAATACGTTTTTTGGTCAAAAGTGGATTTTTGAATCAAATACTACTAAGAACGGAACAATAAATGATCAATTCTGATTTGTTAAGCTTCTAATTGTCACTTTTTTCGGTGCTAATTTGAATTACTGAGAGTATTTGAATTAATTTATGGCTTTCCGGCTTTATATCGCAAATAATTCGTATTTGCTTCAAATGCTTTCACATTTTTTCAACAAAATGCAACTAATTGTGGTTTAGTGGAAATGTTCGCCCATTTAGTAATTAAAACGAGAAGTAAATAAATATACGACAAAATAATTACAATTTATGCAGCTACAACGGCTGTATTTTAAACTGAGTATTCTAATATTCAACTGTTACAAAAATATTGACAAGTTTCTAGAATTTGCTGATGTAAATTTGAGTAAATTAATATTAGTTTTGCGATAATTGGCGGTAAAATTAATGTAGAAGTGGAGCTTGTTTCCACAATTTCAGTTTTGAATATAAATATGACATTGTGGTTCCACATTTCTGTTCACTTCGGCATAATATGTGAGGAAATGAAAATATAAAGTGAAGATAGACAATATAAATTTTGTAGTTCCAAGGGAAACTAATTGAGTTTTAATAATGGAAGTTATTTTCAGTCAATTTCAAGTTTTCATGCTAGAAACTTAACTAATGCTGCGGCGATTCTATTGTTTCAAGCGTTATTTAGTGCAATCCGTTTTCGGTTAGAGCGTATTTATGCAAAAAAATGTGCATCAGATAAATTTTTCACAAGAGGGCAAATTAAACAATGCGAAATTGGTGAAATTTTCACATGCTCTCAGTTGGCGAAAACAAAAGAAAACGTTTTTTTTGTATTTTAACCTCACAGGCATTAAGATAAACCTTGTATCTCGAAAAAAGCTTTCGGTGGAGTGGCCTTAAAAAATTCACTTTTCGGAATTCCAGAGACATTTTTTTTCTTTTGAACCGATTAGCAAACTTTGAAGCTCATGTTACAGCTAAAACTTCGCAGTCAAATTAAGAAGAAAATTTAATGTATCTGGTTGCATGAATGAATGAGACATTTCAAAATAAACTTCACTTAGTTGAAAATGTTCCAGAATCACAAATTTCGCTGCCAATTCTAATTTTGGTCATTTTTTGTAGAACCCTGAATACCATATTTTTATCTTAAATTGCCTATGAAGCTTCAACATGAGCTCACGATCGCGAAAATCGCACCAGGAGCAGACAGGTTATCACTACAAGACCAAAAAGTAAATTTTCTGGGACCACCCTTAGAAGTCCTAAAAATCAGCTTCGAGCTATTTGGTTTACTTGTAAACTTTTGGTAAACATTTTTATGCGCAATGTTCCTTTTGTAGGGCGGTTTATGTTCAATATTTTTAGACGATTCATACGAAACAAGAAATTGTCCATTAGAACATTGAATTATCAAGTTATCGATTTTGCCAATTCACAGATTTGCTTCGTAACTCTTATATTGAGCTATTTATGTTTTTTTAAATAAAATCTTATTCTGTACGTTATTGTTGTTGTATTTAGTTGCTTTCACTTCATCTTTTGTTGATCTAAAACAACAAATTCATAAATGTCTTTAAACGCGAATAAATTTAAAAGCTGTAGTACTGATAATCACACGAGAACTTTTTAAAAGGTTTATCTTGTCAAAACAAAACTGGGCAAATTTTACGTCCGAGTGAAAAATTATCAATCTGTTAAGAACAATTGTAGCTGTAAATTCCAAATTAACCTTTGGGTATAATCGAAATATTTTAAGCTGTTAGTTTACTTTTTTCCATATTAATGCTGGTTTAAATTCAAATACCATTGGCCCTTTTATACTCAATTATACACAGTATTTCAAATAATTTGTAGCCTTCCGGTTACATCTGGCAATTAATCGCTTCTACTCTAAATAATTTCCGCATTTTTCCGCAAAAATGCAGCTGATGGTGGTTTAGTGAAAGCATTTAAATGTGCAGCCAACCCTACACGTAAATGAACATGTGATGAAATAATTATAATTTTTTCAGTGTCGGCTGTAATAACATTTTTGAGTTTTGCTTTGAGGATGTCGATTTTATTACACTGTAATTTTTCGCAACGTTCCACTAGCAAAATTTGTTGAGCTACTGAAGTAGATTCAGGCTTACTGACAGTAAATTTTTGCTATTTCATTAATTAGTACTTTTGCATAAATGAGAAGTTTCTAAGCCAAGCAAAACAAAAAAAAAATGGATTAGAAAGAATAAAATAAAATTTGTGCATACTGATGCAAGACTTTTGATATTTAAATTGATTTTGAAATTTACACTATTCCGCCTCCAAAAAGTTTTTTTTTACTTTTTAACTCTCTTTTACTTTTTTATCTTTTTACTTTCTCTAAACAGTTGCATAGTTTTGCTTATACAAGTAATAAGAGCACCAATTTAGGTTTCACCTCTAACTTAGATGTCAGTTAAGTGCGTTTCATTATACAAAATAATACACTGTCGAGATTCAATAGAGAAAGGTTTCATTTATTTTGTAGGCTTCCTGCTTTAATAATTTCGCTATTTATCTCATACTTTTCGGATTTACTATTTTTATACCTACAGAAAGCGACTTGAACTGAAATAGTTTGCCCCATGTTTCATTGTTAAAACTAATAAGCACCACTCTTCTGAAGGACTTTCAGTTCCAGACGTGTGAGAATTTAATCTGCCAAGTTAAGTAGAAAATGAAATGGCAGTTGCTTTGTGCCACTTGAGAAATGTATTTCAAATTTGTAAAGGCGTTTATTCCAGTCTGCACTGTTACCGTTTCCAGCTAGCAAGAGCTAGCTGGATGGAGCATTTTTGCAAATAGAAGTACAAAAAGAATGAAATCGGGCGATCTTACTGTACCGGTTTGCACTCAGATTTTCTCTTTGTATAGTTTAGATTAGGAAGTGGTTAATTTGTACAATTGTAGTAAATAGCACAAAGTGTTTTGGGCAAATGCTTTCAATGCATAAATTTAGAAACTTAATTCAGATAAGGCTACTAGGGTTCACATATTACGTGAGTGAGAACTTTTAGAAAAGCTGCTGTTTCTGTAGAAATCCACGGTTGCTCCACCTAGTAAGATATTTCAAATATGGAATGGTTTATTAGTAAAAAACATATTTTATAAGATTTAAACTACAAGTCATACATTACTTCGTGCGGAAGAAGTTATATTTTTCGTTTGTCTTTTCTGCGTCAATTATCAAGGTTTCATAGAACTTATTTCCTTTCGAACGTAAAAATATATTACTATTTATAAGAACAATTTTTTTATGAGTGCAAATTGCAGAAGGGACAAATCAAATAAACATAATATATAAAAACAAACTACAATATATTAAGTGCTCACAAGATTAGCACAATTATTTTGCGTTAAAGCGTCTTAAGGAAAAACCTTATGTTCCTAAATGAAACACAACACTAAATAAATCAAACCTGGGATAAGTGACAGTAAAATATGCGAGCGAAGGCAACAGGATCTATTGATATAAAAAAATCAACGTTAAGAAAAAGTAACCAAGAAAATGTGGTTCATTCCTAAAGTAAAAATGCAATAACAAAAAAACAAAATTGAAAACAAGTTATAGGAACATAAATCTTCAGGAGTAGAAGGAAAACGGAATTCAGAGGAAGAAGAAAAGATAGGGGAAATTTTCCAGAGACATTCTGGACAACTTCTAAAAACTCAAGCAAACTTTTGAAATTCATTAAAAAAGCAAACTGAACACAATTCATAGAGAAGCTATGCAATGCTGCATCGTTTCAATTCAGTATCATTGAGAACTAGAAACCCGTTTACTACAATTATTGAAGACCTTTTTGGAACAGAATTACTTACTTTTTCAAACGACTAACAAAACATTAAAACAGCCATTGAGTTCTTGATTACGAACTTTATTGATATTAAATACATACAACTCGAATATGTCGTAGCCACGTTATAACAACAGAAATTTAATCCATAATATAAAATAAATGAATATTAAAAATTCTGAAACTGAAATTTTATGTAATAAAACATCACTGAACAGTACGAGTAGGAGATACTATTAACAAGCCAATAACAATTAAATATTTAATAGAATTTCTATCTGACCGGAGACAAAAATGCTGTTTTACGTCTATTATGAGTCGTCGTTATACAATTAATTTTAGAATATTTAGATATGAAATAGCCTGTATATTTGTAACACAAAAGCTAAAGTAAATTGAATTCTCAGTTAACTACTAACTCAGATAGTTTGGAGACGTTTCGCAATGTTCTAATACTCATTTAAAACACTACAACGTATCCATATTAACGAAAATTGGTTTAGACTGGAGTTTCTAAAACACACCCTGAAACTTCAAAGGCTTTTACATTGTCGTCTATAGTTAAACTCCTAAGTTTTCTACTAAATCCATGCGGGCAAATGCTTTAACGTAGTCAGACATTAGAAGTTTAGCTTGATCGCCAAGTTTGGGCAAAGTACCCGATTTAAACGGTGAACTTTGTTATCAAACTGCTTCATTGTAGTTGTAATTTTGATACAGCGTTTTTATTTTAAATTTATATATTTATTATAACGGCAAACATATTTTTCAACGTTCATTCGTAGTCAAATTTTTAGTACAATTAAGTGCAAAACTTTATTATTTCACTTACAACCAGTCACAACTAAGTTTCACATATACTAATATTTTTCAGTAGATTAGAAATTGTCTGAAAAACAATTGAAATTCTATAAAACCTAATTAACACAAATGGAAGATATTTTTCAAATAATTGTTTTTTAAGGACTATTTTAAAAACACCGTTTTATAAACTAGGCTCATTCGCTAATATGCATCACTCAAAAGTTTACAAATGAAGAGATAAACAAACAATATCGTTTATTTACTATGAATGTCACAAGGTAGCCGGAACGTAACAAAGCGCTCTCGATTTTCGCGGCTTTCTATTTGTTCGTAAATTGGCATGTATTTTCCCATTCATTTCCCATGCGGCACAAAATATTCCCTTTGGCCATAAAAAAACGGCACAGGAAGCAGAAAACGGAACTTGATAGTTGGAAAACAACAGATACAGATTCCGTGCACGTTTCTGCTTTTCAACTTCATGAGAACATACACCATTATCAATTCCGGTATGCCAGCTTAAACCTTAAACAAAATTCAATTGTCTGACCCACATAAAAAGAACGATAAAAAAGATATAAATAATGCAGAAAAGTAGTAAAAGCAGTACGTAGAGTACATAAGAGGAGAGATAAATTTACTTTGCTGATTTGCATACTTGCTTCCTTCAATAAAGGTATTTGCGAATCCATAACTTTACTTCTATTGAAGACTATAAAACTAGTAGCTACAGCCTCGCGGTTTGGGTGCTGCTTTTTGCTCCAATTTATGATTGTAAATCATCTAAAAGTGAATGTTTTCCTGTAATGTAAGCGTGGTTATAATAAATTCGTTCTACTATGTTTTGACTTAATTTTAGTTTTTGTGCTTTAACGACGTGATTTGCTATTCAATTTAAGAAACTTAAAAAAGCATAAAAATAAGTGTGAAATGTGTTAACACTGACTACAACTAAGGACAAATAAAAGATGTAATCAAAATAGTGACCTTCTTGACCAAAAATTATATTACCGAATCACAAATTGCTATGCGTATTTTCAGGTTAAAACGATTAAAAAAGTTTCAGTAATAAAAGAGAAACTCTAGCTTAATAAGATTACGGCAAACTGAAAATTCAACCTCAGTTGTTAAAAGACCGTGTTAAAACAGTCATGTTCTATTAAACAGAGGCACTAGAAATGGAACTTTGTAAGCTTAAAGGAAAACTTTAGCAATGAAAGTTTTGTCGCCAAACTTCTTAATTGGAAATTTCAGTATCAATATCACCGCAAAATGGTTTCCTCAAAATTATATTGTCTGACGTATAAACTTTTATTACTTGATGATTTAATTAGAAAATATTTTGGACCAGCAGTATAAACCGCAATATTAAATGTTAATGGTATATTAATTAAATTTTGGTCGGTTGGATTTCATGAGGGAAATATTATTTCGTTGAGGCCATTAACCGACCTTTTTTCTAGGATGAATTCTTGATAAAATCAGAATGTAATGCTTAAAGAAGAGGTGAATAACGTAAAAAAGTATCATTATTAATACCAAGAATCGTATAGAATGAAGAATAGAAGAATGTATACGAGAAATATTAATAGCAGGAATAAAAAATCCACTATTGACTATGTTTTTAAAAAAGGGATTCAAAAGAAATGTAATATACGTAAGCAAAGTGCGAGGTATGGAGGTATAGAGCCATCAGTTATTTAGAGCTAATATGAAAAGGAAAAGAGCAGGATATCACAAAAAATTGCAAAAATAGCAAGAGTACAACTGAAGTCATAAATCAAAAGGCAACGTGGTGACTATGCGATTTACATTACCAACTCAAGAATCGAAACTGAAAAATTACAAAATGGGCCACATATGTTCCTAGAACTAAGCTGAAGTAAGTTTAAATATCTGCAAGCAAGTGAAAAATAGGAATTGAACAAATAGTTCCAAATATCAGTAAACGAACTTAATTAAAGTTAAATAAAGTGGAACCTCGTAATTTAGAAGTTAGAACGATTTAAATGGTAACAGTTCCAACAGCTTACAGGAATATAACCTTATTAAAAAGTTCACTTTTGCACAAAGCTCCCAGTTGAAGGAAAATATAAAATGCTAAAATTTTCTGGATTTTCTCCTGGTTAAGTTAGTAATTAATATTTGGCGATCTTTCCTATTCTTAACTATTAATTCCAGAAGTTTATACATTGTCGCCCTAACTAACGAAACAAACCAGTTGTACAATTAATTATATTGAAAAGTCGTTATAATTAAATTTGTTCTTTAAATGAACGCCAAAATATGAATAAAAATTGATTGGTGCCTTCACGGTCAAAAAACACGATCTGCGCCATTATAACAAATTTTAATGAATTGTGAATCGTACCGTCTTCAGTTATGAAATCAGCTCTAATACAAACCGCCAATGCATATATTGAAAATCTGATCCAGGTTTTCTCTTCGGCTTTAGTAACAGGATTTCCTCTATAACGAAACAAGTAATTGAAGCACGTTTTGCATTAAAATTTTCAATATCAAGGAACTGCCGAATTAGAACGCAAAATTCCATTTTAATAGAATCTTGTTGACGGAAATACAGTTTTGTCATTACAACTCTGAATTCGCTTTTGATGTAATTCAGATCTAAAGCCACAGAATTGCTTTGTAACTTTATTCATCTCTCAGTGGAAATGTTATTAGATGTAGATAAAATGCGATTTGCTAATTTAAAATTATTCCAAACTCCAAAACTGTATTATGCTTAGCATTTCCAGGAAAAAATTGCACCTTGTTGGGGGCCTGCCTCTGAAAGTTTCCAACACCATCAATTAGCTTGAAGTTTGAAATTGGAGCTCGGAATGATGAAAAATTTTAGAAAGACCACAGTAGATTACGTTTTATTGAATGCCTTGAAATATTTTTCTCAGAGAAATTCGCTGTGATTTAACACAACAAATTAAATTCGATGATTGAGTTGTAGGTATCAAAAATGTAAATCTTTGTCCCATTTTTTGATTATTTGATAAACTTTTTGAGAGAAACTTATTTTGGTAATATTTGCAAAGCCTCTTTTAGAATAGTGTCACAAATAGAGTTCTAAATATCTGAATTGCGCATTGCCTAACAGAGGAGGCAACAAAGTAAATTATTTCAATATTTTGCTTAGCTGGAGACCATAAACTAAGTGAGAAATAAAGCAACTATACTATACGGGAGCACGCTTTTATACATGTAATGCATGTACCGTTGTTCGGAAGGAATCAGAAGCAAAGCAAATAAGGCAATTTGAAATTCGACGTTAAAATATATTTTGACTGAAGGAGTTTTATATTTTGGGTTTCTTTGCTATATTTACTCTTGGCCATGGCATTCTGCTTTATTTCCATCCGTTTATGGATGAAAATCAGAATCCGAATCGTCTTTTTTGCTTGTTCTATTTCCTACAATGTCCATATGCAAAAAAATCAAACGACGATATTGTCAACGTTGCACTTTTGTTACCGGTTTAATTAATCACTTAGTGTAATCAGAACGAAAAAATAAAGGATTTTACATCGTTAGTAAGATTTATTGCTTGAAATAAAATGACTGTGAAGTGAAGAGAGAACTAATTTGCGAGTATGCCATTACCGCTGTAAAGGAATAATTAAAGTTCGTTTTTGGCAGCTTGCGTTTCGAGCAGGTTAATAAAGAAAATGAACGAGGATCTTGCTTGAAGCATTTATACCAAAATCCTTTAATTTACTCTTTAGTAACAATGGTTATTGGAACATAGAACATAGAACAAACGACACGACAACAGTACGTTTATATCATGGAATACTCTAGAAATTAGCAAATTATTAAAATATCTGTTACATAAGTTTGTACTGAAATTAAAACTGAAATAATAATTTCAGTTTTAATGTGTGCTCAGGGCATCAATAGAAAGTATTTGAGTAGCAATGCCCTGAAAAATCTCCTTAATGCGCTTTAATGGCATTTTCTACTAAATCATGTTTTATCAAGTTTTAATTAATTTGGATTTTGATTTAAATTTGGTTGAACGCAATAGGCGCAAATTACTAAACTACACAAAAAGTAATAAACATCCATATAAACTGGCGAATATTTTTGGTTGAATTTTTACTGAGACAAGATTAATTCCTAGAACTGATGTATATTTTTGATATTTATATTGAATATTGGTTATATTTTCTAAAGTTTAATAATTGAAAAAGGGGTTTCAGTGTTCATCATGGATGTTGGGATGAGAAAACAACAACATATTTTATTATTAATGTACATCGACTGCCAAAAGCAGCGAACTGTGTCCAGGAAGCCATTGAAACAATGTATGTAGCAAACTTAGTGCTTTGATACTCTACTATGAAAACAAAGCACGAAAATGCTTTTAAAAATAATATATCACCCCGAATGTCCCAAATCCATTACGCTGTGCTTGTAGACACTTGGGAGAGTTGAATGAAGAGAGTCGTTTCAATTATTCTCCGCTTCAGTAATTAATGTGACCCATTTACAGTAAACGTTTGGTCTTACCTTAATTCGCACTCTAAGTGAAAATTGCTCCAAAGATATTTCAAAGCTGAAGTTTTGTTCGACCAAAAGTGCACGGTGGAAAATAATGTAAAATTCCATCAGCTTGACAAAAGTAAAGTTGAGCGTTGTAATCGGAATATAAATGATTTGTTCCATAATGTAATTATTCCAATAATTTATGGTTGAAGGTGCGATCGTTGCTTATCGTAAATAACTTTCTACCGCTACCTTCTTGTTTGGGGTTTTAGCATCTGCTTCACTTCAACGGCCTTATTTATATCACTTGAACCGTGGTTGGAGCCAAACAATAAATCATGAGAAGCATTGTTAGAAAGGAGAGCGTTATTTGAAATGAGCTTTCCTGACCCTACCTTGCTAAACATATAGCATATTTTATTGCTTCAGATTTGTTTCCTTATTTGTGGCCAGAATATAATCAGTATACAATATGTCTTAAGCATCAAAAGATCAAAGACAAAATGTAAATATTAAAAATCTCTTCAATTTTAGCGGTGCAAGAGCATATAAAAATACTTTCGTTGTATTTTGAATTAAAATATAATTTATAAATATACCAAACTAATTTACACTTTATAAACACTATTTTTCAACATAAAGTTTTCAAATCATCATTTGCAGAATTTTTGCTATGAAATTAAATTTTCTTTGCATTCTGCACCGGACTAGCCGAACGCAAAACATTTTTACGATACGAATTTCAAATTTCGTCCTATTCGTATTTGAAATTCAATTTGACGCTTTCCGAAAATAAAATCAGAAGCTAAAAGCCGCGCCAAAAGTTTGCCAAACTTCGTTAAGCTTCAAAGTGCTTTGTTTCCAACAAACTTAAATACTTCATTGAAATCAGCGTCGAAATTCTATGGAAAAATGCAAACGTTTGTATAAATATTGATATTATTAAAATCCCGATTTTATTTAAAATCCCAAAGGTACTAATGAACTGCTTAACATTCAGAAAACGAAGCCTTATCTATTACACTTATATTAATAGTTTGTGCTTAAAATTGGCGCATATTATTTTCCTCGAAAACACGGTGGACAGAATATAGGAAAAAGCAAATCCTTATCGGCTTAAATGCCACAAAAATTGAAACTGTTATTTGAGATGTTTTTTATTTTCCATTTTGACTGACTTTGAGTTTTTGTCTCGGCAAACGGGTCCATTAAACATTCTAATTCCAAGGGTCGGCCAACTTTTTTAATAAAACTTTACGAGTGTAATCCCGAACCTTTTTCAACGCGGGTTGCCTCAAATT